TTATTTATCAGGTTATTATTTAAAAATAAACAAATCAATAAAAATACGCTGTCTCTGGCCTCATGCTTAAGAGACATTTAAAAAAAAAAAAGAAAGTGTAATTCCTTACCATCAAGTCACCAAAGTGCCCTAGAATAAATATAGTGAAAGGACAGCATTGTGACAAGCCACTTCCCTGATTTTAAGCTATGCAGTGTTGCCTTATTGTTTAAATGATCACAGTTAAGTGTTCTGATATTCTCATTCTTTGTAATGTTATCCATATTTGTTACAATCAACACAGTTGAATATCTCTGCATTGTCAATAAAATAATCTTTCTAGCAGAGAAAGAGAGAAAGAGAGAGAGAGAGATTTTCTAAAGCTGTGCCAGGAACCTTTAGGTGACTCAACCGCGGCAGAAATGAGCCTTGCCATAAAGGCCCACTGCTTTCCTAGCAAAACCCCCACTCGTGTTTTAAGATAGAGTGAAATGCACAAACTTAGAGGAAGTTTTACGCTGATGAACTTTCGTCTGAGATGATGGCTGTGGGGAAAAACAGTAGTTTGGTTTGACATTCCCAACACTGGCAGCAGCTGAAGGCTTGTGATGATGCCCAAAGGTGTGTGACTGTTAGAAGAGGACTCACCCTCCATGCCTGCATGGTTCCTTTATTGTATTTTGAGTCATTGATGTGCTTAGGGAACCCCCCCAACTTTATCTGCTAGACAACCCATGACCCTTAGTCACCCTTCAAGGCCGGAGCTGACCTCACCCATGGCTTTTACCTTCCAGCTAAATCATAAACAGGGCTATGAAATGATCAGTAACACCAGGGAGGCACAAACTCCTCTGAACAACTAGCCACACAAAGTCATCAAGGCGGCATTTGTCTCAGCTCACAAGGCAGGAAGGGACTGGGGAGAAGGTTGAAGGGAGACAAGAAGCACAGGGAGGAAGTGGGAGGAGTGCTGGGGGATTCCCACGTGGAAACTGCAGTCTGTGGAATGAAGCCAAATGTGTGTGAACTGTTGACTGGAAAACAAATGTGCTCTGAAAACTTTCACTCAAATCACAATAAACTTAAAAAAAAAAGTAGGGAGGGCAGAAGAACCCCAAAGCTCTCCACTATGTAGGACGTCTATGTGTCCCTGTCTGTTAGAGAATTCTTGAGAAGGGGCAAAAGCAACAGACTCTGCTGACATGGGAGTGAAGAGCTGGAGAGGGATCGTCAGGAAATCAACCTGGGACAAATGACAGAAACTTGGCTTAAAGGGTATTGGTTTCGGGTTACAAATTACCTTGGAAGGCACCTCACTTTAAAACGAAAAAATGTCAGGGTGCTATGCACTTGCAAACTGGGCCTGGACTAACACTGGGCTTTTCAGTCACTTCAACAATTGTTGCTTATTTCTGATCCATCTTTTGGTATCTGCTTTTTTTTTTATTGGGGGTACAAGGAGGTGAGGGTTGGGGGCAGAAGGGTGAGGATGGGCAGGGATGCAGTTGCAGAGCTGCAGAAATTTGTTGGTGGGGGGAGCAGGTGAAGGACAAGGGCAGACAAAGAAGTCATTCATTAAAAGTCACTTAAAAAAAAACCCCAAAAACCAAAACCAAAAATAAAAATCCAAAACCCAAACAAAACATAATGCCTGGGAATGATTGTATGAGACACAATGTGAATAAAGAATAGTGTAAAATACAATGTATATGCACTTGGTAAGCAAATCAGTACAAAATAAACATTTTTTAAAAACACACTTTCACCCAAACCTAGGAAGTAGCATTTTGGTGTGGGAAAGTGAGTAATGTTTTCCTTGTAACTTTGTTTACAAACTTTGTAGCTTTGAATAAAAAAAAAATCATTTCTCTTTGGCTGGGGCTGGGGTGGGGGAGGGGAAAGGCTAAATAATAAAGCTGTAGACTAGAATGAAAGCTCGTGTTTTTACGAAGGGGTTAAAGCTGCTGGAGGGAAGGTCCTCCAGGACTGGTCTGCAGGGTTTGGTCAGGTCACAGCAGGGCCGATTCATTACAAAGAGCAAAGCACCCAGGCCCCTCCTTTGTTTAGGACACAGAAAGACACACAGTCGCTTTTGAACTGTACATTCTGAAATCAACTTGAGTAAAAAGTAACGGCAATAATCTTAGTTTTCAATTAAATGTCCATTCAAACAATAGCCACTGGCATGAGTCATGTGACTCACTGAGACCCGTGGGCCTGCTCTGAATGCCCCTAAGGCTGTGACCTTTACAGGGGTCAATGCTTCACCTTTCCCCACGATGGATTTGAACCAGCAACCCTGCAGTTATCAGCCAAGAGGCTTAAATACTGCTCTACCTAATTAAACACATATCACCATCAAATTTAGGGACCTAAACAAACACACTATCTCTTTGTTCGAGGCTTACCTAGGAAATCTCAGAACACACACAGAGCACCTGACATGCTCTTATTATAATTTTCAAACAGGAAAAAAAGTACAAATAAAAGGGTCAGGTTAGCTAATCTCCGAGGTCATAAATAGATAGTCTTTTGGGAGAAGAACTGTCACCCTCAGTTACCTCTTTGCAATAAAAGAGGTGCCCGTTTGGGGGACCTACTATGGTCATGACTGACCCAACACACAGATTAACCTAATGAACAAACCTTTCAAAGACACACTCACCCCGGCCTGTGAACTCACTGCAGGCAAGATGGCAGCCACAGGAAACAGGAGGGTTGCAGAACTTGTGAGAGGAGAAGTGGCTTTGAAGTAATAACCGAGGGGGGAGACGCCAGCCTCCCCCAGACAACCGAGAGTGAGCGGAGTGAGGAAGTGGCTGGCGACGGTTGTCGCCTGTCACACAGGAAGCCGGCCCTCCCTCCGGTTTTAGGCCCCATCTCCACCAAGTCAGATTTACCCAGAGTCCTCAAGTAGCATAACACACTGTTACGCCTGTGCTGATACAAAAACATCAGCGCGTTTTTTGCCTGCCTGTCTGTCCTGCTGTGGCGGCTTTTGTGCTGCTGCGACGCTGCAGGCTATGCCACCAGTATTTCAACCACCAAGAGGGTCACCCACGCTGGACAGGCTAATGCAGAACTTCCAGACCAGGAAGCGAGGAAGAAAGGCCTGGTGATCGCTGAACCACTGGAATCGTTTGGGTCACCACAGAACCACATCACTTGCTTTGGACACACCATCCAAATCCAAGCAAATCACCCCAAGTCCATTCCGAGTCAAGGGGAGCCTCCAAGGTTTCCAGGTCTGTAATCTTCGTACAAGTGGACTGCTTCCTCATTCTAAGGAGCAGCTGCGTGGATTCAAACCGCTGACTGTTTGGTTAGCAGCCCGGCGAATCTACTGAGTCACCCAGGCTCCGGTCATTGGGAGGCACTGCCTGCTGGAGGAGGACAGTGAGCGAGGAGAGGGAGCCCCTCGGCGAGGTGGATGGACAGAATGCTGTTGTTGTTGTTAGGTGCCAGTGAGTTGACCAGGGCCCAGAGTGACCCCGTGAGGGCAGAGTGACGGTCCATCCTACACCAGCCTCCTGACCTCCACCACGCTCAGTCACTGACAAGCCATCTCACTGAAAAGCTTCCTTTTCCTCACGGACCCTCTCCTTTTCCCAGCATGCTGTCTTCCTCCGAGGCCCAGAGCCTCCTAACATCCTTCTCCAGAACGAGAGCCAAAGTCTCGCCATCCTAGCCTCTGAGGAGCGACAATGACATTGAACATGTGGTGACATTGAACATGGGGAGGGAGCGGGCAGGATTCTCTCTGATGTGCCTGTGTCCTTGTGACTGAAACCCAATCCAATGACAGCTAACGACAGGCAGCCTTCAGCTTGTCGAAGAGCGGCATTCAAGCCTGAGGTCGGTACACTCTGTGTCATTCCAGGTCCCAGTTAGACGACGTCCCGAGAAACGCAAAATTGCAGGGATTGTTGATGACCGGGGTTCAGGGGTTAAGAGAGGAGATGGACTGAAAGGAGCAGGAAGGGCCTTTAAAGATAGACTGTCCTATCCTGCCCTGTGGCAGTTAAGCAACTGTACAGTCCAATAGCCATCGATTTGTGAGAAAGTAGGGAATTTTCAAGATGGTAAAAAAGATCAGATCAGCCAGCAGATGGGCGTTAAGTGAACAATAACGCCTGAGAGGAACATGCTCCTCAGAAAAACATGAGACCACAGGGCAGCGCGTGCCCCAAAACACAGCTCAGAAGACAGGAACAGGCAAGGAAGAGGGAAGGTGGACGTGGGGACCCCAGGGCCGAAGTGAGGAATGTGACACAGGGCAGACTGCCGCCCATGTTATGATGCAAAATGTGCATGAATCATTCGGCACAGGACTAATAGGCCTGGCAAAAACCCACCCAAACCACAATAATCATAAAAAGGAGCGAAGCTGAGGGCATGTAAATAATCTCTTAAGGGAACTAGTTTTTAAAAAATGAGGGTTTGTATGTCATGTGGCTTTGGGGACTTTACACACACTTTTCCTATAAAGCTGGGTGCCAAGGATGGCAAGGTTCCAGGCTAGTCCCTTGTCCGCAAAAGATGTTGCTATTGTTGTTGTGTACCATCGAGTTGGAACTGACCCTCCAGTGGGTTTTTGGAGGAAGTTAACTGGATGAAAGGAGATTGGTTAGCCTCCTTCCATAGACAGCTGGTGGATTTGAACCATGTGCCTTTGGATTGGAAGCACAACTCCTTACCATGAAGCCACCAGAGCTCCTAGATGGCACAACAGTTAGCAAGCTCGGCTACACGTCAAGATGGGAGACTCAAATTCACCCAGAGGCACCTCAGAAGAAAGGCCTGGCGATCTGTTTTTAAGAAACCAGCCTTGGAAAACTGTGTGGAGAGCTAGTCAGGCACCCCGGGGTCCCCAAGATAGCAAAGGGCTTGGCTGGGACATGCAGGGAGTGTGGAGAAGGCAGAACCCTAGGCATGGTGTCTGATTTGTGTGCCACGTCCTGGCTGTGGAAGGAGAGAGGGCGCGCGGAGGGACGGAGGCAGCGAAGGCCGAGCGCACTCACCAGCTGGAGCGAGGGGAAGCCCGAGGTGCTGGCGCTGTGACTGTGGCGGTGGCTCTGGCCGAAGCTGGGCGGGAGCGTGAACTGCTTCCTCAGCTCTGCAGAAGAGAACCTGCAGGGAGAGAGCAAAACGGTAACGTGAAGTGTGGCTGTGAGAACAGGGCAGTCACGAAGCTGCACTGCAATCCCAGAGGTGCGTGGTTCTAATCCACCAGATGCTCTGCTGGAGAAGGAGGGACAATCTCCTCCTGTACCTGTTAGATCCAATTTGATGATACACACACACATAAAATAAAATTAAATAAAATAAAAAAAGAACCAGGGTAGTGACAGACACAGGTGCCACCCCCCTGTCGGGGATCCTGGACCTCCACCAGGCCACTAGCAGAACAGCTGCGGCGGACTCGGCTGTGACTCTCTGAAGACCCCCCATCTGGTGGTTCTCAGAAGCCAGGCCACAGGCAACCAGGGGTCCTGCCCCTTCCTGGGAAGATGACGGCATGAGGAAGAAGGAGAGTATGAGGTGTACCCCAAAAGATCCAGAGACAGCAAGCACTCTCTACTCCCCAGGTCATTCTGAGGAACTGGCCAGCCCTGAGGATCCACAGTAGTGCAGTGTGTTGAGTACTGGGCTCTTTTCAAAGGTTAGCAGTTCAAATCCACCAGCTGCTGTTTCTGTAAAGATCAACAGTGTGAAAACCCTGTGGGCAGTTCAATTTGCCCTAGGGTGTCCCTGAGGTGGAGGTGGCCCACAGCAGGACGCAGGTATGGAGATGGACATCTAGCCAGACCCAGGAGGGTAAGTCCTGAGCTTTGGGGTCAGGCCCACAGGCCCATTTCAGGCGGCTGCACCTTCTGGCCAGCTGTCTGCTAGAGCAGAAGGCGGTGGGGAACAGTGACACGGGCCCACAATGAGCAGGACAGATGCGGGGGACACAGCGGAGGTGGACGCTTGCCGAGGGTCCTGAAGACGGTGCATGATGGGGGTGGGGTTCTCCGACTGTATTAAGGTTGTCACGTGTCCCCTCGCCCCCATGACCACCTTCCTGCGAGTCCCTCAGATGCTCCTTGGGGCTCCCAAAGACGGTGTCATTCAGAGCCCTGGTGGCGCAGGGGCTTAGCACTTGGCTTCTAACCAGAAGATGGGGCAGTCGGCCTGGACCAGCAGCTTCACAGAGGAAAGACACACAGGTGGCCTCCCAGCTGTGACAGCCCCCGGGGGCCATGGGCAGGCCTGCTCCGGCCGCAGAGCCACTGGGTCAGACTGATGTGGGGCATCAATTCAAAAATGAAGAGGGTGAAAAACAAGGAACAAGGAACTCATGCAATATTCTTCCAAATGGGTGACTCTGGAGGACGTTATGCTGAGTGAAGTATCTCAGTCACACAAGGACAAATACTGCATGGTGCCACTGCTATAGAATGGGACTGACATCGGGGTTGGGGGGAGACTGAGAAAAACTGAATAAATTATGTATACTGCATTGAAACAGATGAGGGAATGAACAGAACAGTTTAAAAGCGATGTATGCTTGAATACTATAGTTACGACAAGAGTCCAGATTGGAGGTTGCATAGTGGAGGGGAGGCGTGGGTAGGGATTATATACCAATGAAGGAATTTTTATTTTACTTTTCAAAGAGAAGAGTGAACTGGGGGTGGGGGAGGGGTGGGCAGGGAGAAGAATGCAACCGTGAATGAATGGAAATCCAAAATTTCTGTAAATGTTCATTAAAATTAATAAAATAAAATTTAAAAAAAAACTGAAGAGGGACTGAAACCCCGCAGAGATGGTGAGGTTGGGCGGGTCTGCTGTACACGGATTGACATGAGTCAGGGCTCCCGACACTTACAGCTTCTAGTGGGTGGTCCTTTCATCACCCATGTGGGCGCTCTGAGGTCCAGCCTCCCCACCAGCCTGGACACAGGTCAGTGAGAGGACGGACGCTGATCCATCCTGCACTCCCCGCTCCTGGGACCAGCCCCTGCCTTCATGCCTGTGATGTCAGCAGCACAGTGCCCTAAAGCCTGCACCACCAGGGTGCACTTTCTCCTAGTGAGGTAAAAGGTGTCACAGGCTACACCCTAGGGGACTCCCCCTAAATCCACGGAGCTGGGATGGGATCCAGGGAATGCTGTGTTCCATCCTTGGTCCTCTTCGAACTGTTTATCCTGATCATGGGATCCGAGGTGGCTTCCCCAGCCTATCATGATACACATGTATCTGAGGAGACACAGTGAATCCATAATCTATGTGAACCCCAACCTGGGCTACACCCACTGATTTTTTGTCAGTCCACAGCCAGAAGGCACAGGCATCAGGACAAACGAGCGAACAGACTCATGTGGTCAAGCCCTGTCCCATGCTCAGACAAGACGGATGTCTCCCGAGGCATCCACCTCCGGAGTCTTCCTGTAAGATCACACGAACAATTCACAGGCCTTTCCTACCACGGGGCACCGGCTGGTGGAGGCGGTGAAGACACAGAGAGATGACGGGCATTCACAGAGGCACATCAGCCTCTCACCTTCATCTTGAAGCAAAATCAATTGTCCGGCGCCAAAGCCGTCGTGTTGCCCTCCTGACATCAGAATGTTCTCTGTCCCTCCTGAAACAGGCTGGCCCGGCCGGCAGCTAGCCTCCAACCGTCAGTGTGTTGCTGTTAGGTGCTGTTTAGTCAAGTGTGATTCATAGTGTTCCTATCAACAGTGGATCCTGTACCCGTCCTATTCTGTGCCATCCTCACACTTCCTGACACACTAGACACAACTGAGGCAGTCACCGTGTCAATCTACCTGGTCAAAGGTCTTCTTCTCCTTCGCTGACTCTTCACCCTTCCAAGCATCATGTCCCTCTCCAAGGAACAGTTCCCCCTAGTAACATGCTCGAAGTATGTGAGACAAGACCTCATCATCCTTGCTCCCAAAGAGCACTCTGGCTGCACCCTCTCCAAGACATCGTTATTTGTTCTTTTGGCCTCCATGGGATGTTCAGTGCTCTTCTCCAGCACCACAGCTCAAAGGCATCAATTCCTCCTCTGCCATCCCTATTCACTGTCCCGCTCTCAGATGCAGAGGAGGTGCTCAGAAAGACCTTGACCTGAATCAGATGCACTTTAGTCCTGGGGATCCACTTGGGAAGCTCGGATGGAGCCCAGTGCTCCTCTCACACACACAGGGCTACCGTGAGTCAGGACCGAGTCAGGGCAACAGGGAGAGAAGCCTGCACATACAGTCAACTCGCCCACGCAGGCTGGAGTGATGAGACCATACGTTGTCTGAGCGTGGGAAAAGTGGGATGTGCCCCCGTGGGGGCGGGGTGGGGGTGGACGGAGGCTGGGTCTTTCTGGAAATCTGTGCTGTAGCCTGTGACGCACCCTATAAAACCACCACTGCTCTTTTATTTCACACACATAAGAAACAATGCCCAGAGAAGGCAAGAATAGACTCATTCGATTAATGACTGAAGTATATGGGAAGAATGGTGATGAGCAGGGGACAGCCAGAGAATAAAGAAATCTGAGAAGGAGACACAGCCAGAGGTCCCTTAGACCTGAGGCTGGGAAACTTGGTCTCATGGACTTTGGTGATGTGTCCAGGAGGACTAATCCCTGGAAAAAGCACCGGGTTCAAGAAGACAAGGAAAACCCTCATGGAGTGGACTGACAGAGGCCTGGAGCAATGGGCTGGAGCCCAGCACAGAGGTGAGGACAGACCTGGAACAATGGGCTGGAGCCCAGCACAGAGGACACGACAGGACTTCCCAGGCTGCCGTCTGTCATAAAGGGGTCGCTGTGAGTGAGAACTGATGCCACAGCACCTACCAACAGTGCTCCTATGATGAGCGAGTTCACAGTGGACTCTCCAAAGTCTGCACTGGACCCCAGCTCCTATACCTGTGGTGGTCAAGTCCCTAGGAAACAGGTGTTGTCATGTAAATGAAGCCAGATCAGTGAAGGGCATGCCTTAAGCCAATTCATTTTCTTATTTTATTATTATTTTGTGTGTGTACCATCAATCAGATCCGACTGGTACAGGAGGAGATTGCCCCTCCTTCTCCAGCAGAGCATCTGGTGGATTTGAACCACACATCTCTGGGATTACAGTGCAGCTTCCTGCCACTAGGCCACCAGAGCTCCCTAAGCCAATTCACTTTTGAAATGTTGAAGAACTGATGGCGATGAAGCAAGCAGAAAGGATGGGGAAAGCACATCCGTGTGGAGATCTCCAAGGAATTCCAAATGCAGAAACAAGGATTTCTCTCAAGAGACAACGCCCGGAATGTGGTGGACCAGTCTTTGAAGGGAGCTGTGGGGATGTGGTCTCCAGGGTGTCACACGGCTAACATAAAAGGGGGCTCTGAATTTACCAGCAGGTCCACGGGTGAAAGACGGACCACCTCTTTCTAGGCAGTGTTCACCCTCAGAACTTGCTGGAGGGTCAGCTATGAGTCCTCTCTGACTCAGCAGCCGTGAGTGAGCCTCTTCGACTGTCAGAAACAAACTTTGTTCACTGAGGCCACCGTTTCTTTGTGGTCTATCTGTCACAGCAGCACTGCAGAACCGAGACACGCCCACCTGTGGTGTCTCATCAGAGCAGCAGCTGGACACAGAGACCTCTAACTAGATGGCATGACACTAGGACTTCATATAAGTCTTGGATGCTTGATTTCCCCTGTTTATGGGCAGGGAGCATTGACGTTTAACACATCTGCACTCAGACTGCAGAGAGGGCACGGTGTGACGGTTCTGGGGTCCTGGAAAAAGTCCCCTGTCCAACAAAAAGAGAGCAACAGGGCCAGCCTCGCCCCTTGAATTCCGAAACTGTGTTCTTTGCCTTTAAATCCAAGGCTCACATCCAAAGAAAATTCAGGTGAGGAGAGCTTTCCTCGGAGAGACTGCTGAACCACACAGGAATTTGTCAAATGACGTTGAGGACCCTCGTGGAATAAAGGCAGGAGTACTTCCAGACGCAGAGAGGAACGGGCAGGACTGGGCTTGTGAAAGGCTGGCACATCTTTTCAGAAGAAACAGAAGACCGAGGCACTGCTCACCGAGTGAGGGGCTCCGGTGACAGACACAGTGGTCAGAACACCCAGCTGCTAT